GAACACTGGCTTTTGGATGCTCGGGTAAAAGAAAACGAGACTACTTTTTAAAAACCGGCAGCAGTCATTCTTTCAGTGATACAAAATACAACAGTCTGTGGCACTTCGCAATTTAAATTATATATTGCACATGAAAATTGACAAATCTGAGAAACACTCCAAAAATGTTTTACAATTGTTTTGCAAACTGTGTTGGTTTCCTGTCTCTTTCTGGGTATAACGCGAAGTGACAATGCATCGAGATGACTTGGAATCCAGTTGTACTACCTACACTGTTCAAACAAACTACACTTTCACTGACTATACCTTTCAAAGGTTATTTACAAGACATGTTCAGTGAAGAGCCTCAGCTATGAGCATATTTTTTCCCCCGTTAAAGAAGTTCTCTAAATATGAGTGTATATTCTCCTTCATCTCCACTCCACCCAATTCTGACTTAAAACACCTTTGTCTTCTAAGGAAGAATCACCATTTAAAAACATAGGATTGGTATATATGAAGCTAAAATTTAAATTATATACCAGAGACTTAATGTGATGTCTACCCTTTTATTAGCTTACCTGGTTTGACTGATAAGGCTCAGACAAGGCTAGGAAGGTTTTGTGACAGTCATGACATTTACATCTACTCTAAGAAATAGGACAGCAACAAGCTGCACCACTGAGAATTTCTTAACTTTTTAACGCCTGTACCTAGCCTGCATGCTAGAATGTTTTTCTTCCCATACTTTGCAGCATTCTAAAAGTCAAAATTGTTCTGGTCACAGACAGCCTCACGAGTCAGGATTCGCACATTTTAGGGCAGATGAATCCTGCATGCTGGTTCTTACTGTTAAATATGACCAATGTCACCTTTCTTTTCCGGGCTCAGTGAATACTGGAGCTTTCAAGAGAACGAGCAAGCTTCTGCATCTGAACTCACCTGAACAAAACCGGAGGTTATTTTAAAAGTTCAGATAAATGCGAATGGGATTCCTGTGAAGCTGCTTCATGGTGCCTTTAAATAATCAGCTACAAAGTCGCTTCATAATCTATAGTGAGAAATCAACTGAGCTTCACTGAATTAAAAAGACAGATGAAATGTACTTAGACTATAATAAATCTGGGAAAGGTAGTTTAAATACATTCAATTTTTAGGACAATTAGAACTTAAAACAAGTCCCCATGATCCCAAAGGAGGAAAAGAAAAACAAAAAACAAAGCAAACAAAAAAGCACAACCAAAAAGACCTAGTACGAGCAAAACGCCTGGGGAACCCAGGCAGGCAAACCGAAGTGATGTTCTGACCTGTCACTTTTCCTCTGGCCACCAATTACACCAGTTAGCAAAGGTGATGTGGTCCTTGTCCTTCTGGATACTGAAAAAACCCCACTTTTATATTATAGGTTTGATTGTCAGCTGCTGAATCTCCAACTTAAAACTATAAATAGACTTTGCCCCTCTATCAGGAACAAGCAATGAAATGGAAGCAGTTTGATGAGCAGTGGTTGTGTTCAAGCTGCTAGTCAGAAGAGGCCATGAAGGTTGTCCTTTCTTTAGGCTGTATGTTAGTGACATGATTAGTGTTTCACACCACATCATTCAAAGCACCATTGTGGCCTAAAAATTGTGAGAGCGCCTTTGGAAACAAGACGGTTAAAGTAGGATCCCACAATTTGTTTTCTCACCCTTGGGGCAAGATGAGGGAATACATACCATGAGTGCAGTCTGGAGAGGATGCATAAGAATTTTCCATTTTGAACTACAAAAAAAACAACTCTGGAGCTTTCAAGAAAGACAGCAAGTCACCAATGCCCTCATTCAAATAAAATCCAGATTCAGATTTAATTTCCAAGCACAAGGGGATGATTGAATCTAAATCCCTCCACAGAAATCCCCTGGTAACTTAGCTACACAAATTGTCACCCAAGCTAATAGTTACCTCTAAATTACAGGATCAGGGCTGCTGGAAACAGGCTAGCAGCACAGCTTCGGCTTCGTGCCATGAGAAGCCACAGGAAAGCCCAAACCAAGGCAGCAGAGAAGCAATTTTGTGAGATGGTGACAGGACTAAGTCTACCAGTTCAGTCAACCTAGATCCCTGTCTGGTATCAACATTTCTTTCTCTGGAGGAAAAATACAACTGGCACAGGTATGGAGGCGGACACCATTACACACCAGGATACCTAACTCAGAGAAAAAAGTTCTTAAATGCTAAACACTGTTAAACAGTACTCTTACTGACAGAGCACTGGAACAGGCTGCCCAGGGAGGTTGTGGAGTCTCCTTCTCTGGAGATCTTCAAAACCCGCTTGGACGCAGTCCTGTGCCACGTGCTCTAGGTGACCCTGCGAGTGCAGGGGGGTTGGACTAGATGATCTCTAGAGGTCCCTTCCAACCCTAAGCATTCTATGATTCTATGATACTTCTAACAGGGTTGCTCTAAAGTCTTTCTAGTTAAATTTTCTACAGACAGTGCAGTCTCCAATCAGTTGACAAAATTTGTATTATTCAAGACAGTATGAGAGTGCTCCCTGGCAGACCACTGCTCTAGAAGAGATTTCAAGTTGCTCTTCTGAGAAAAATGGAACAAGACATTGGGTGAGAAGAAAATAAGAAAGAACAGAAAACAACAAGCTGAGATAGTTAAATGCTGGATAACTGTACCACAGATATTCACAGGAACAGTACACAGCATGTGTTCTCATATCCTCTTTTCTAATATTTTATCAAGAATATATACTGCAAGATAGAATATTAGTTTGCACTAAGATGCTGCTGTACTGTGCAGAGAAGAGCAGTAAAAGAAAGGAGTGCTACTGGAAAAATCTCCATCTGAAACTAAATTGGATGTGTTAGGGACTTTTATTGGATTATCTAAAAGCAGATGCAGTTTATATTTGGAATGGATTTTCAGTAGCCTTTTTTTTGTTTTTGTTTTTTTGTTTTGTTTTGTTTTTAAGATTACATCCAAGATATAAAGGTTTCACATATGGGCTAAGAACTTGAAATCCATTACAAGATTAGAAGAGTTTGGAAAAAACACAGTAGAAATAGCATTTAGCAGAGGGATGGCTATTTTAAAAAGTTATCTATGTATTCTCAGCTTGCTTGGGGAGTTTTAAGAAACAGTATCACTGAAAAAAAAAATTTGCCTTTATGATTTGTCTACATATTTTATTCCTGGTATATATACACTTAACACACAACTTGGCTGTACTGATGAAGGTGGTACTGAGAATACCACCTAATCATCTAGTTAAATAACACAATTTACAACCTTGAACAACAGTAAAGCACCAAATGAAGCTAGGACTGCCAGTATCATAGACATGCCCAGAATTGGTGGATTTTCATTTTTCAGTAGGAAATTGTTGAGGGAAGAGGGAGGAGTAGAGGTTCTCCAGACAAAACCAACTCAGTAAAGAATGAATTTGATTTGAATGAAACAGACATTTAAGGCGAAGTTGTGAGAAAAGCACCTATGTTCAGTCTACACCATCAATCTCTCCTACGTCTAATACACCCATCAAGATCTATCCTTCTGGAGAGACCGTTACTATTTAAAGACACCTCTACAGAAACAGAATCAGTGGTTGCATGGGCAGTAGGATTAAACTGAACAGGATTTTTAATTAAAAGATAATGGCCTATTAAATCTTTCGGAAATGGCTCTGCATGGCTTTTTAGTACTTGCTTTCCCAATGGACAGGATTATAGGGATGGTTACCCTATTTACTCCTTAACAAACTCAGCAAACAAGCCCAGTTTCTGGCAAAACATAAAGTGTCCAGAATGACTGGACCTAAAGTTCAATCCAAACACAGATAACACCACACCATAACTCATCTGAAAATTAAAATAGGGCTAAGAAGTAATTTCCAGCTACCACTGTTGAGAGAGAAATAATAATAATAATAATAAAAGAATAAAAGAGACAGTTGGCTCCTCATGTGTACCCCATTGCCTTCTCAGATACTTACGTTACTAATGTTATCTGCATATTTAAGAGGGCATTTTGTGATACCAAAAAACTAATAGTGCCGCAGGTCTACTATCAAATAACAGGTCCCAAATGCCACCACAAGACCGTACCCCTCCTCTGAGATTCCTACCTCACTCACACCTTGAACTGCAAGCAAAGGTCCAGGTAATATTTGCCAGGCAATATTTCCACCCCTGCCCCAGACTACTCCAGCTGTGCTGGGCTGCTTCTGCCTGTAGGCACAGAGCAGGAGGAGTTCGGAGCCTCCGTGCAGATGTGCTGCAGTGCAGAACAGCTCCTGCCTCTGCTGCATATCCTCTTAAGATGATCTGCTTGCAGCCAAAAGTCTGGCAACATCTGCTTTATAGCCAGGGGACGCAAAGATGTTTTAGACCTGACTTTCTACTTGGCTTCTGTGTTTGTACTCGCCAAGAGCAGAGGCTTATTATAAAAAACAACAACAACATTTCACACAGGACCCAAGGGAAACGGAGCACTGACCACTCATTGCGTTTGGTACCCAGGACAGCAGTACAGCCCTGATGGCATGGTGCAGTAGCTATACGCTACGGAGAAGCGAGCAAGCAAGGCTGCAGACACTTCAAAGGGAAATGCCAGACAAACGTTATTGCACAGCCAAGAGATGTGCAATAAAATCACAGACAGATGACAGTACAACAGACCTTTGCATACACTTTTAACAGAGGTAATTTCTGCCCTAATTGTGTCGTTTCTAAGCTTAGTTTTAAGCCTATCATCAGGTATTTACCACTTGCTGTAGCACAGCAAGCCCTAAACCTGTTATTATCTAATGAAACAATATCCAGTCTCCTCACAAAAAGAAAGGGCAAACATTATGTTGAAATCCATTCATTTTGGAAAACATAAAATAAAGGAATAAAAACCACTCCCATCAGATCATGCATGCTTACAATTGCATACAATCACTCTTTTTTCCCTCCCATTGTTCAATGAAAACACCCCAAATGCAGCAGCTTACCTGATCTTGCAGAGACATAACAGGATTGTTTTTGGTTGTATTGATATGTAGAACATGATATTTGTTCTTTGCACAAAGATCATAGGCAATATTTGTGAAGGATGTGCTTGCAGTTTTAGGTACTCTATTGTAAATAATCACCACATCGTCTTCTTCATCCAGGGTCACATCTTGTCGGGGGCCATCTACTGTGTGGCGTTGTTCTATTTCTCTGACTTCGTGCCTTGCAATAGCCCTTTCTGTTAAGAGAAAAAAAAATAGTGCCCATTTTGAAAATCAAACCTCAGAATGCACATGACAAGTTGGCAAAAAGCAACACCTCACCAATAAAGGAAGCACTTGCTGTTACATAATTCTGACACATATAGAGCAAGACTTGACTTAATTTATAAAGTGCATGAATAATAAAAGGTAAGTTAGTCTGACAGAACTCAATGGCTATGGAACAATGTATTTAGAGAACACATATGACATATTTAGGGAACACTATGACTCATGATAACACTACTGAAAGCCATTATCACTAAAGAAAACTCTCTACTGCAGGTAGTGACTTCTTTCCAAATAAATCCCAATTAACTTCAATGAAATACTCACTGTTTAACAATTACGAAAGGAATAACTCATGAAAATTAGAGTACAGAATATGAATTTTCCAAAACCAGTAGAATCACTAATAGTATGGGTTTAGTTGATTAATTTTGTCAGGGGCACTGCAATTCAGACAAAATTAATATTGTTCTTATTCCAGTTAAGAAAAGTACCAAGCGTAAAGCATCACAATAAACAGTTTTCCAAAAAATTTAATTAGATTTATTAATTTGAAGTTTGATATGAACAGAAGCAAGAGATGCTTATAAAACAGTCAACGTTAAAATGAAAAGTTACCTCCGAAAGCTGATATATAAGCAGTTTAAAGTATGGAAAAAACAAGCTATGAAAAAGATATATTTTGCCAGTGTGAGTACTTTATAAACAAACCATTTTCCCGTTTGTATAAAAGGTGATATTCTGAGTAGTTGAACTCTCCTTTAAGTGCAAAAAAATCTACTTGAAAATAAGAAGCAGACTATTGCAAGATTACTTTTTTCCCCCCTCTTTTGCTGTGGAATACCAAATACTTTGTGCCGAGTCAGACAAATCTTTGTTCTTTTTTAGGTAAGCTCAATTCAATTTAAGAGAGATGCCAAAGCATCTTTCCCAATTCCCTTGATGACACTACTTTTAATAACGTACTTAAAGAAATCCATGTTGGCCAACAGTGCAAGCTGAAGTTGGCACCGTGAGGCTAACCTGCCATTCTCCGTATCAGGTTCTCACACAGGCTCTGACACTCTGCATTACAGAGCAGCTGTTGGTCTTCCCATCTCTCACTTCCTGTAATTCAGTTCCTTCTGTACTCTCTATTCACATCATTCATTCAAATATAAAATCACTTTTAAAACAGAATCATTAAGCTGTGAATATCACTAGCCTATAATTCCACAGAAGTTGTCTTCATCCACAAACTTCCATCTGTCTGAAACGCTTCAAAACTTAAACTCTCTCTCTCATATGCTTCTATCTCACACCCCATAGCTAAGTTACACCAGTATGAAAATGTTTGTAGAAGAGGCTTATTGAGTACATCGCAATTTTCCATATGACATCTGGTGCTCCCCACTACATCAGACACAGTTTTTGCTCCTTCCTTTCCCATTTGCTACCACTCCCATCACTGCTGGCAAGCCTCCTGTTTTGGAAAGGGATGAGGCAACTGGCTCAGGTTTCAGATAACTAAAGGTGGCTACAACCAAATGTAAGCAGTGACACTCGCCACGACCCGCTCACCAGCTTAAACTTATTGCCCAGTAGAAGAAAAGGAGACAGATTGAAACATCACTCACACTGACTTGATGGAAAGGACCTGGAGAGCTGGACCCGAACAAGCACAGCAGCTACCACCTAACCAGCCTGTGACACCAGGAAGCCCCTTCAAGCCTTCAGCTGCTTCCTTGCATGGGAAGGGTGTCCCAGCCGCTGCCTTCGCAGCCCCTTCGCGTGGGCTGTGCTCAGGCCAGGCCTGGCAAAGCCGGCAGCCTGGGGCAGGGCGGCTCCCAGGCTGCCTCCCTGCCCGCGAGCTGCGCTGAGCATGCGAGCGGCCTAAATACCCAACTCCACCGGGCTGAACACCTACTCAATACTGACTCCATTCTCCTCGGATGGGGAATGAAAACTGAAGAGCAGATTAAAAGCTAGCCATAATTTTGTAGCAATGCTCCACCTCACTTTTCAAATCACATATACGTGCTGCAAACACGGCCCCCATCCACTACCGAAACGCAGCCTCTGCTGGCAGCTGTTTTGCAGCATCCAGCAGCACTGCTCTGGCTGACAAGCAGTGCATGGGTAAGAACATTGTGGGGATGAACAGGAAGAAAGAACCACAGGTGCTACAACAGTTTTTAATATACAGAGGACGTGTATCACTACAACCAATTGAAACAGCAGGAAAAACAGACAGACAGACCATAAAAACCCAAAGCTGAAATTCGTGGTGAGTATTCTGAAAGGAAGAGCTAATTTCTCAGCAAACTGGAGAAACTGGCCGATTTCAACCCTTTCAGACACCTTTAAGATGAACACCTCTGCCGTCCTTTGGTTTTATGCCTCATTCAAGGCCAAGTGTCACATTAACAGCACAACCACTGCATTGGTTCTTTAGCAACTTTATGATTTAAAATCCAACATAGATTTTGACCAAGTCTTTACTTTCCCTTTCTTTCTCCTCCCCATTTAAAAGCACTTCAACACGTTTGCTCTTTACTGCTGATTAACCAAGTTCACTGCTTTCAAAGACAATTCTGGGTGAGCCCCCGGGGCGCAGCAAAATCTTTCTTCATACTTCCCTAACTAAAGTGCTCTGACACTTGTCCAAGGGACTTTGGTGCTGATCATCTTGAGTGACTCCCTGCAGCTGTCTTAAGTGACCATCCTTAACACTGTAATTAACTAATCTGATCCTCATTTACATATGTAAATATGTTGCAATCAATACTAAAGTAAAGAAAGCAGAACATTATTCCTGTGTAAAAGAAGAAACACTGTTGGTCAGGCAAAGACAAAAAAATGGTTGCTTTAGTACTAGAGGATTCTAATAACTAATCTAATAACTAATTTTACAAATTTAATTCCAGCTTGCTTTTTCCCACTGAGGCATGAACAAGTATAAAAGACTTTAAGATTTTCTCCTATGAAAAGCTTAGCCTAGTGAACAATTAGAACTTGCTAACATTGCCAAATATTATCTTTAATAACGGTTAATGCACCTGCAGAACAGTAGGAAAAAAAATAGTCCAGACAAAATAATTATTTTCAAACTTCAACAAATGCACTTGGTGCTTCATGCATCTGTTTAGAGAAAAGAAAAAATAAAACACACACGCACACAAAACAACAACAAAAAACAAGAAACAGCAAGGAGGCAACTACAGCTAGACATTGAGATCATTAACTAAAATCTAATGCAGCAGCTGTCTGAAAATTAGAAGTAGTGAAACTGAAAAAACTGCCACAGTTTTATTAGCATTTGATACTCATTATTTCATTTCAAGACAAATTTTTTGCTAAGCCTTTATTTAGAACATGAAGGTAAAATTGTATTAATGCATGATACTGTTAAGAGTTTGATATTAAATGAAAACAATGTTTACCCAACAGTAAAACCACTATCTTACATATACCTACATATATTCTGAGCAGATTTTACATTGCTCAGTTTTCTCCCTATTTCTGAGAGTCAACTACATTTGTAAGGAACACAGTATTTCCAGATTAAGTTCTGATCATGTATTTCCCAGTATTTTTTTTCTTAGTATAGCTGATGTGCAAACTCGAGCATTTTCCTAACAGTTTTCTGTTGAGCAGAGTAGTTGAAAGATGAAATCCGCATGCTATGCCAAAGCTTTTGCTGTTCCCAGTCACCTTCCTACCCTTCATGTGCTTAGAAAGAGCACCCAAAAAACATTTATTCATAAGGTTCCCAGGACTGAGGCTAGGCTACATGTTTCATTTTCCAGATCTTCTTTCCCCTACTTGAGTGGAAAAAGTCCTCAGACATCTTCATCAAATACACTGCTACGTCACCACAACTTTTCAAAGCCCTTAAACATGGCCCTTACAGTGGTATCAGCCAGCTTGCTCACTGCTCCTTAAGGCATCCTGTCTACATCCCGTCTTTTGGAGAGCTTCTTAACTTTGCAATCTTCTGCACAGGACAAAGCTTCCCTCTCATATTTGTGCTGCTGGCTCAGGGACCTGGGAGATCTGATGGCAAAACTCACCAGTAAAAAATGTTACCTCAACCTTTCCCGAACACTTTGCCACACAGAGCAGCATGCCCACATTTTTCTTAGCCTCCCTTCTGACTTCTATTGAAGTCCTTCTGATCCTCTTATGGTTCAATTCTAGCTGAGTTTTGCTTTCCTAATTTCACCTCCGCACGTTCATGCAGTTCTTCTGTTATCAGTAGCTCATCCCTGATTCCACCTTTCACAGCCAGGAGTTGCTTGTTCACCCACACTGGCCTTCTCTCACATTTGTTTGAAGCATCAGCGTGGGTTGCTTCTGTGCTTGAAGGACATGGTTCTGGATAATCATTAAGCTGAGCCCCTTTGACTTCTTGTTCAGGCCAGCACAGGACAGTAACAAGAAGGTTACTCCTGACACCTGCTCTCCTGAAGGCCAGAGCTGTGATCTGTCTTACTCAACACTGTAATAAAAATTGTCCTTGACATTCAAATTCCCAACCAATTCTTCCTTCCCATCACTAGCGGGTCCAGTAAAACACACCCCATGTAGGTGATGTAATCACCTACACCGATCACCATCAACATACTCCAAAAGTGTCCTGGATTGCTCGTATCCAGCCACATCGCTCCAGGATAGTTAAACACCAGTACAAACACTTATCTTTTACGCAACGGAATATCATGCAAATCTTGAAAATGGGTAATTACTTAGAAGGAAACAAAATACGTCACAGACCTTTAAAATGAAAGGATCAGATCAAATTTTGCATCTATAGTAGTCATCTGAGTTTATCAGAGGGACTAGCACAGAAAAGAGGAAAGTTAAAAGGCAGTGATATTCAACGTGCTAGGAAGACAACCTTATAGTTTATTTTCATGAAAGATATGCTGCATCTCTTCTAATATGTGACCAGACACCCCATGCACGTTGCATAAAGTCAATCTCTGTG